ACCAAATTGGTAACGAAAATTAAGATTCTGCACTGGACAAAATATTTAGACCTACCTTGCTTAATTTGAAATGTCCTAAATACATGGAAGTGCTAAAAAATATGAAATAAATGTCATAGAAAGGATAAAATTTTACTTTCTAACACATGTTGAGACATTGTTACAACATTAATTTTATATTTAATGTTCAAATAATGTTTTGGCAGATAGAACCTTATAATTCTAAGCGAAAAGTGTTTTTTTAGAATTAGAAGGTTCTATCTGCGTTTGACCCATTCCAAAAAAAAACATTTACAAATTTGAGAGGATTTTGATATTGTATATTTAGAATACATTTAGGGTCCCTGTTATTTTCATGTTTGAAAGAAACTTGTTCCCCATATAAATTTTCCTATATGTAATGCAAAAACTTTGAAGCTCAATATCTCTAAACTGCTCAGAACGCAGATAGAACCTTATAATTCCAAGGGGACGAATTGCTATCATATAATTAGTTTAATCTGCGTTAACTAAAAATAAACAATGTTAACAAATGTTCAATTTTTTAAAGTGTTACCAAAAGAGAGACATAAAAAAGGAAGGCTAGCGAGACAAAGATCAATGAAGTTCACTTGCTGACATTTAAGGCAAGTAAAACCACATAGGCAACAAATATGATGAGGTTATTATCTGAGCAACTGTGCAAACCGTTGAAATGGATCCAGAGAAGTCGAGAGAGAAAAGTACAAGGATGAAAAATAGGGGGGCAAACTCATCAAATGTGATAACAGAGAGCCGAGGAGGAGGCAGAAACTAACTAGCCTTCATACTAGCATTGTTGGCCAAGAACGTACAAAACAAAAACAACTCATTTAAAGAGATGAAAAGCCTGTGTTTGAGGATTGATGAATACTTCATGAATGCATTTAGAGCGAGAGCATTGCTATGAATAAGCACCTCTGATTAGGACGGGCCCGTGTGTTCTCCATCAGGCCTCTTGAGACAATGAGTATCGACGCGGCGCGACAGAAACACAAGCACTAGAGAGCATTTAGATCACTCCTCAGAGACACCCAGAACAATGCTTCTCAACTGCTGGAGAGAGACCCAACATGGGTCACAGGCCTAATCATGGATGGGGACAGTAAACAATCCACACGATCATAATTACATTACTGCAACAAAGATGACGGGAATTATTGGATGCCAAAAGATTTAACGTTTAAAAAGGCATTTAGAACCCAAACACTGAGTTTCATAATAAAAATTACAGTGTTGTAATTTCTGATGTCAAAAGGGACCCAATGTAAAGTATGGGTTCTGAAAAGGAATCAGACCGGGCTTCAGCAGGTTTTATGAAGGTAAATTGGAGACCAACTAAATACAATGTAAAGGATTGAAGGGGAAGACAATACGTCACTCTGTTCTGTAAATGTCTAGGGAGCTGCACTCCCATATAGAAATAACTTATTTTCTGTGAAAATGATCAAAATGAAGTGAGTTTATGGTTAAAACATGAACACATATCTGCCAATGGGCTCAGAAAAATCGATGTAATTCACAGGGAAGTTTTGATAACTCATTGACAGATGTTTGCTCTCGTTTTAAGCATAACCTCATTCCATTTTGATCAGACTTTATTTTTACATATGCATCTTGATTTAAAGATGTTTAGATAATTGTAATGGAAAGCAGAACAAAAATACTGGGAAAGATACATTTTTTGAAACATTTAATGCCATAACATAAAGTTAAGACTTTCTGCTCTAATTTAAGAGCTTTTTATGACCCGCAGAAACCCGGTCAAAAAAATATGATTAGGGTATTTATATACAATTATATTTGTTCATATTTTTATTTGGCTTGTATTTCTTATATTTTCAGTTTTCATTAGGGGCCAAGCATCGAAGGTGAAGACAACTATTGTAATCGCTGACATTCTTCTTCTTCATGGCAGCCCATAGAAGCGCTTGTGGGAAAGTTATGAAATTTGGCACACAGATAGGACAGTCTAAACTCTCACCATAGCAAATTTTAATTTAGACTAGAGTATCTAACTCAGTCCCTCTTAACTGTTCTAAGTTGTACTCACGTTTAGCTAATAACGCAGGAAACGAAATCTTTTTTCCTGATCCCTGGCTCAAGTCGATTCGATTACCTATGATGTCATTTTCCATCATAAAAATTATCCAGCCATTTAGATATTTCCGAAAAACCTGCTTTTTCAAACTCCTAAACTGTTGCTCTGATTTTCACGGATCATTGAACCAGATCCTCTTCAGAACATGCTGACAAAAACCTATGGAATTCAAGTCGATTCGTCAAATAATCTAATAACTCTAATAATGCGTGAATATTCCTCAAAGAGCACTCCAAAACGGAAGTGAGGGTATATCTCCACAACACTTTAGCTTATGGCTTATTCTAACTAAACTTGGTGTCCGTTATGACACCCTTGACCTGAGGGCACTTGCACAGTTTTGGCACAGTGCCACCTAGTGGTTAGGAGATATGAAAAATTTATATTTATTATTATCCTTTAATTAACAAGGTTAGTCACTTAAAGCTCCTGTAGGTAACTTTTGAAAACATGTATTTGCTTAAACTGTCATTATGTCCTGACAGTAGAATATGAGACAGATAATCTGTGTAAAAATCAAGCTCCTCTGGCTCCTCCTAGTGGTCCTATTGCCATTTGCAAGAAATACACGCTCCCGGTCAGAAACAACGAATCAGAGCCAGGAGGAGTGTCTTAGCACTGTCAATCACGCTCGTGTACGCACTGACCACACCCCTCTCTTGCACAGCGCGAGCGCCAGAGCGCGAGCCGTCGTTCAAACTCAAGATTGCCGGCGAGCTGCAGCTGTGCTTATGACGGAGAAACAACCTAAACTGCCAATTCTCGAGTGACACCTGCTCATAAAACAAAGAGGTAAAAGGAAAAAGACTGATGACGATAAACAAGCGAAAAAGAAAGAATTACACAGAGCCCATTGACTCGGTGTCAAAACTCTAGCCGCATAACGTAGATAAAATGTCACGCACTCTGCTAAGCAACAATTGAAACCTGCTAATTCACTGGCTTGTCATGTTGCTGAAATAATGTACTAGCACACCTTATCTAGCATTATATATCGCTAGAATAATTACTTGCATACTGTAACGTTAGTTACCGTTATATTAACGTTATCTTACTAGCTATTTATAACTTATAGAAAGAGTGCAACGTTATAAAGTTACATGTAGGCTATTGCAAAATACATAATGATTTGAGGACCAAGTTTGTAGTCAAAGTATGGGCAGGCCATAGTCAATGTAAAGCATATTATTGACGTTTAGTCCCTATTAGTGAATGTGCCATATAACTTTTTATCCGCCGGCCCTGTTTTGCGTTCACGACAGGCTCCGCTGTGGAGGACGAGCTGTGGAGGGAGGGCTGTAGCGCAGCAGAGAGCAAGGGGGTGGGACCTGTAAGTTGTGCTTGTTCAAATTTTCAGGCTAAGTCAACGTTTTCTCAAAACTCCCTACTGCAGCTTTAAGAACAAGTTCTGATTTTCTACAACAGCCTGGCTTATAACTTCTGAATGGTTTGGACAACATTTTTTAAATAATGACAAAACAGGTCTCTTTAGATTCAGTGCAGCATGCAGTCAAATGATACCCAAATTTCACATATCGGCCATTTTGAATTTTGTTTAACAAACATTGCCATATTGTTACGGAATTCGGTAGGTCTTCAAAACCATCCCCTGAAGGTATTCAAAGTTGAGGCAAAATAATTAAATTTAAAAAAAGTTACATTTTCCATCCAAAAATAAATAAATAATAATAATAATTGTATATGTATATATATATATATATATATATATGCTTTATTTAAACTAAAATGATTAGAGAACCACTGGCCTAGACTAGAGTGCTTTCAGGTCCTGCCTCATTGAACTAATTACACCATTAAATAACGCTGTTATACATATGCAAATCATCTTAAGGTGATAGAACAGAAATGAGCCACTCAATCATACAGTCTATTATACATATACATATATTGACTCAATCATGCTACGTATGAATACATTACGTATTTGGGTCATTATAACTGAGGCCCCGGAGAAAACACATGCCCAGTCGCTGCAGTTTCAGTATTGCATATTTGTGGGCAACTTCCACTGCCAATTAGATCAGCACTGCAGTAATTTAGGCACGAGAGTATGACAGAGTGGCTCTGCTGAGCGTTTGAAAGCAGAGCACTCGGTATGCTCGCTTCAAACGCCTAATGCACTCTTGACATTATCTAGGAGCTGCTGCCTCTTTACTGAGATAAAGTTAATTGGGCCGCTCCGAATGTATTTGAAGGCTTGCGCACTGGAGGTTGGTATTGACACCCATAAAAAATAAAAATAAAAAAAAAATGAAGCGAAGTGCCACAAACCCTCTTCCGGGCCTGATCCCTCAAAGAAGCAATCGCAAATGAGGAGGATGTGTCCGAGCACTTGCGGGGCAGAGCGAGGAGGTGCGACAGAGCCCATCGCCGCCTTTCATCACGTCTCAGAGAGCTCGGTGAAAAGAAAGCTAAAGGTTGTCAAAAAAAAAAAAAAGGAGAAAGATCACTTTGACTCTTTTATTTAAGATTTCGTTTTTATTTTCCTCCAGACCTGTAGAGAGGTACAATTTCCTCCAGCTCTTCATTTTTCTTACATTTTAGCACTGTGTAAAACCCAAAGTTAAACTTTACTGGTTTCGTCATTGTCGTCGAGATTTAATTTATCCATTCCTCTTGAATACTGTTGAATACCAAACGGTCGGCAAGAACCAACACAGCTGACACAGGATTAAGACCATCAAAAGAAAACTGAGAAGGTAATGGGGGGGGAGGAGGCGAGTAGGAGTGACAAACAGAGTTAACGGTCCCGGATGAGACCCCTGTGTATTGCCAGAACCTCAGATGCCCAATAGAGCCACTATCCCAGCTTTCCCTTTTATCGCTTTTTGTGGGGGGTGGGGGGGGTGGGGGGAAACCGTGCAAAGTAACTGCTACAGTCACAATCGGCATAATCACATCAACATCATCACCCTCATGAATTTCTCTCCACCGGAAAGCCCTTTAACCCTGATTATTTTCTCCACACACCCACCAATCGAAAGTTTTCTACTCTGTCGTTCAGAGGGAAGTTTCACGCCACGCATTCACGCTTAAAAACGTCGTTTCACTCGGACTCTAGATCTATTTCCTAAACCTCTGTACACCTCGCACACCTTCAAGTTTCTTCAGGGAGCATAGTCGGAGCGTAAACACTGATTAGGCCACGTACATCGAGGCAGCTATGAGAAACACCACACGGTGGCGTCCCGTGTGCTACACGAGCCCTGCGCTTGAAAGGGGTCGGTGTCACCCAGCTCTCCATTCCTCTTAATTTCGCAACGTGCCGCCCTCTGATACAGAGGTTAACGATCTGTTGCGATCTAAAGCGGAAGACCCCCTGACCAACCAGGCAATCTGGCGGATGGGTCAAAGGCAAAGGCCTGCATCCATCTACAGCTAAATGCCGCGTCGAGAGCGGGCACCACGTTTATGACCCCTAAAATGCATCTCCCTTTTAACAAGGGCGCAGAAAGGTAGAACAAAGTTAAAGGCCAAAGATCCTTGGTAAAAGTGCTTTTTGCTTGGCCTTCATTATGCCTTTGATCCGTCAAAATAATGGAAGTCAAGTACCCTTTTGATCAAACATAAATTGAAGCCCTGTTTTGATTTTGGATATCTACTTGATTGCTTAGCGACATGGCTTTAAGGACTCTCACAGGAAGTATCTCTGTTGTGCAGATGGATGAACAGGTGCTGTTCTTTTTGGTTTAGCTTTGAAGGCAGACTCTTATTTCTAAATCAAGACACTTTTCGTTTGATTCTTTCTATTTGGTTCCAATGGAATTTCTAGAAAACACATCATTGATGATGCCTTTTTTTTATTTAAAGTGTAGTGTTCCAAAAATGATGTACTGACGTTAATGTTATGTACTACTAAGGAGTTTGTTTCTCTTTTGAAAACCTATTTGTTATGCTTTGATGCGACAACTGGCTTGTTTGTGTGACCGTTTGAATTGGGAAAGCTGGAACAGAGTGCTAGGGCAACAAGGAAAAAGAAAGACTGAACCAAAGGGAAAAACAAATCAAGGAAAAGGGACAAAAAGGAGCAAAAGGTGAAGAGGGAAAACAATACATAATCTTGTTATTTTGTTAATAGCTTTGTACGGATTCATCTGCCGTGTTTGCCGGCGGTTCTTCGGATAAGGGGAATAGGATTTCACAGTTCCTAATGGCGGTCCATGCCGGCACTCTGTAGCAGATCTGTGGAGGCCTGGGCTGAGGCTCTGAAGGCGTTCTGGAATCCTGGGGGAGGAGAGTGGAACTGGGTGGCGGGGTTGGCTGTGGCTGGATAAGGGGTCCAGCCGGCTCTGTGGGGGAACTGGGCTCCGAAGGGGCCGCTGTGTGGGGGCTGAGGGGGCACTGTGGAGCCGGAAGGGACATCCATCTCTGTGAGCGCCTGCAAGGATTTGAGCCAGTGGGGGGGATTGTCATCCTGCAGAGAGTCCAGACTGTTGCCTGAGGATGCTGGGATACCTGAAAGGGACAAAGTGATAGGGAAAAAAGGGTCAACATATTTAAGATGTACGTGTCAGGTTCTTAAAGGTTCATTTTTGTAGTAACGTTGGCTCCATATGGTTTTGCAAAACATTCAAGTAAAAAGTAACAACATTTCTTTGAATACAAGTTGAATATAAATGTAGAATACAATCTCATTTTCTTTTTTTAATCATTATATTATTCCTAAATACCATTAGGTTTGTAGGAAGTCGAACTGCATTTTTCAATCTGAACTAACCTTGTCCTGTTATTAAAAAGGTCAAATTATCTGACGTTTTAGGAGATTAAGCAGCTTGACAAACATTCAAACATTCATTCTCTGCAATATCATTTTCTTTATGACTTACAAAACTAACAATACTTTAACAAAACTGCTTCACTGCATATTATTTTCTTTAAAAAAAGTCATCCTTTAAATGAAGCTATTTTCTTCATTATAATATAAGGACACCCTGACATTTTTTTTTTATTAATGCCACAAAAAAAAAAAATCTAAATTAATTTTAAAACGTGATTATCACAGAAGTGTATTCAAGTCAATGTGGTTCATTTTATATATATATATATATATATATATATATATATATATATATATATATATATATATATATATATATATATTATGAATCACATTTATTTCTTTTTGAATAAAGAGATTCGGTCTAATAAAATGAACATCATTACACTGAAACTGATACAAACAAAGTTTTGAAAGCATAAATCGTGAATATCCACTGACAGAAATAAATTACTTTAAACATAACCGCATAATGTGCTAAACAGGACTGAGCAACAGTTATCTTGCAATCAACAAATCCATCGTTCTACAGTTGATGCTACGTAGGAATCCATTTATCATGTAGGCGACATTATTGAGGACATTTTTAAATCATTCGCCATAATGGGATTAATTACGTAAGGAAACAGGCCGTTTTGGGGTGCTTTTGCACCACTTAAAACATGCCAGCCTGCTGTGAGCTATTAATTCTAAACCCCCTGTGGATGATGGATGTTGCAGGCAGCCGCTGAGAGCACCCAGACAACATCCGTGACATCCATACAGATTGCAACTTCGACCTTAGGGAGCAACGGATACGACGTTGCTATTTCCCTTCAACCCAGGAGAGACAAATGGCAAAACTTTGCTTGAAGTATTGATTAGAAAAAAACTGAATAATGCAGCAAAATTTCTATTAAAGATGAAAATGTTGCTTGAACGATGAAGAAGAACACTAGAAATGTACATTGTTTATTTAACCACTTTGGATATTAATAATTGGTGTTTTTCTTTGTGATATCTGATTTAGTCCACGTGGATGCTTTAGACAGCCTGAAAGTGCAGGAGATCGAACTGATCTGAAATGTGTGCCCTCTTCTGTGGCCCTTAAAATGGCTTTACATCTCTGACATTTTTAGTGAAAAGGTTACTTATAAATGTTTAAAAGGCCTAAATGCATTATTCATTTTAGCTCCCAAAGGCACAATTTGAACGAGCCTAGTTTTTCCAGAGTTAGTCAGGTAAATGTGTTTCATAAATGTGTTTTGTGTTTTTAATACCGTCAGAACACATCTGTGTTATTTTCAAACATTAGTAAAGATTGAAAAACAAATTGGCAATATTATCACATTAACTATAATTACTAATATTAAATCATGAATAATAATAAAATATATTCCAAAGTTAATATTTAATATTAGCATTTTTGTGTACATAATAGATTATAGATAGATTTAACTAAGTAGGCAAAATGAATGTGTAACTTTCCCATTGTGAACAGAGAATGACTGGTGCAAAAGGGAAGGAAACAATTATTAACTACCAAAATTTGGGGGCATTTTATAAGGCAAATATTTGTTGTGAAGGTAATGCAGGCTGTGTACCTGTGATGATGGCGGGGTCCATCCAGCTGGCTGTGCCGTCCCAGCTAAGGCTGTGTGAGATGCCGCCTGGGTGGTTCACGCTAGAGGACGAGGAGGATGATGAAGACGAAGATGAGGAGGAGTTGGGCAGTCCACCAAAGTTGATGTTGATGTTGGGTAAAAGCGCTCTGAGCCCGTCCTGCCACTCCTTCACATTTAGACTTTCTACTGAGGTGCTGTTTTCTGTTCGGGAGGGTGATGGTGGGGTATCCAAAAGCCCGTGCGCACAAATGCACCAGAAAAGAAGAGATTGGGGGACAACAGCAGAGATGAAGAGAAAATGGAGAAAGAGAAAGCAATTATAAGTTTCAACTTGTACAACACAAAAACAAGAGCTGCTAGTTGTGTTAATTCAGTGATTAATTTTAAAGCAAATTATGAAAAACAAACAAACACTAAAAAAAAAAGTAAAATAGGACTGTTTAGACTGACAAAATTAAAAACGCCACATGCCGTGAAAATGACTAAATATGACGCAATCAAATCAAGTAAATAATCTGATTAATTATTTGCCATATAATGACTGGCAATCAATTGACAGCCCTAACAAAAACACAATTTAATTGAATTCTTTTGCATTTCATGAGATATAGAATAAAAAAAACACCATTAATCAAAGCTGGACAGCGTAATAATAGCCGTTACTGTAATAGTGATTTATACTCGATTCAGCAAAAGTCACCCTTCTGAGTCTACTAGCACTTTCTAATGGAGGAACAATCATTATAAAGCTCTTTACAGTCCCGTTATTATTCAATTAGTTTCTCATTTATTTTTTTCTGTGTGTCACACTGGAGGAGAGACGTGCAGCTTCAATAACGCAGAGCTTCTTTCAGCTGGACCCAGGCCAAAATAAACCTTTTCTTCTCTAATCAGGCCAGTATTCTCCTAAGGTTGGCTCCTGCCCACAGGGACAGAGAAACCAAGCAGCAAAGATGATGAAGGGAGGGGAGAGAGAGAGAGAGAGAGAGAGAGAGAGAGAGAGAGAGAGAGAGAGAGAGAGAGAGAGAGAGAGAGAGAGAGAGAGAGAGAGAGAGAGAGAGAGAGAGAGAGAGAGAGAGAGAGAGAGAGAGAGAGAGACAAACAAGGAAGAATTGCAAAGACAGGGGAATGGAGTGAATGAGATAACAACCCTGGCAGGGGGGAAAAAAGCCTTTAGCCTCTGAGCTTGACTTAAGACTCAGCAAACTTCTCTGGCCACCTTCCTTTTAAATACATACAATACATAAAGAGGTGAAAACTTGACCATAGAAATATCATCATGAGGTTTTGTCTTATTTATAAAATTCATTGTCATTAATCTGAGTGTAATAGTGATACAACGTGTGAAACTAGGCCCAGTAAAAAAAGAAAATCGACTGTCTGGGACAACTGTCAATTATAGGTTGGGAATCAGAATCAAGCATTTCAGAAGGATGCGCAAGAAGCAGAAGTTTGGGAAGTTCTTTAAAACATTCCTATTCAATCATTTTGTTAAAAACCTAAATGTAGTTAAATATTACAAATAAGCGTTTAACTTATTGTATTAGTTCATTCATAAAATTAAAGTAAAATGAAATTCAAATATCTAAAATGTATCGGTTTATTTAGTCAAAATTATTTTCAAATAATTTTTAACTGCATTATATTTTTGCCATTAAACGTTTTGAACAAACACGGTATTTGGCTATTTGAATTTTTAAACACGGGACAATTGGTAGAAATAATTTGAGAAATAAAATAAAATAAACCTTTTAGGAAAACTTGAAAGTAGATTCTGATTTTCATTAATCCTGATACATAAAGTAGGATATTACTATCATATATTTTAAATTATAGTTTTTTTTCAATGGTCCAGCCCTAACCCACACTGCAAGTGTACTACCACCAGCAAGGAGAAGTCTACTGGGACAGCCTGCTGTTGAATGGTCTTCTTCAGACAATAGAGGTGAACCCGGCAAAGACACCGGCAGCACAGATTCTGTCAAACAGGTCATGCTTGTCATTTCATTACTTTGCAACATGAGAATTTAAGGAGCAGACAAAGATCCCCTCTGAGCGTGGGCAGGGGTCAACCTATGGATGCTGCAAAGTCAGCTATGCGTTTATTACACCATTAGTCAGTTACAACCAGACATAATGGGTCTCAACCAAGGGGTCAAGGTTTAGCTGGTTAGCATGGGCCAGTTAGCCCCTGCTGGTAGATGTAGTATCTACATCCTTTGAATGGTTTCTCCATTGATTCTCCATTTGCCTTTCGAGTTTATTTATTACAGCTAAATATGTCCTGCACACAACACAAATGACATATTTCATTACATTACAGTAGGTGATTTCCCAGTGACCGATTACCAAATTAACAATGAACAAGCCTCAAACACAGAGAAAGTGACACGCTCACTTGGGAAACGCTGAATTGGTTCTGTGGTCGATACAGCCAAACCTAGTCAAGTCAAGTGTGAGAACGAGCCAATATGAGAATCTAGACACTCAATATCAACACTTGAAGGGGACTGGGGCTTTAATGAAACACCTCTGAAGGAGGAGATAAGATGAACAAGGTGTTGAATAAGGTGAATGAGGTGTTCTTCTTAAACCTCTCCACAGTTCTTCCTTTTGATTGGAAAATGCTCGTCTAGCCAAGTGTGTCAGGCATTAACACAATCACCCATGTTTCCATTTGCATACTCAGATAAACAAGTGTCATCATGTTTTATTTATGTGGATGGGACAAAAGCTTAACTTAGAATCATAGCAGCAAACTGAAGGAACCTAATTTCTTTTGAGGGGCTGTAAAGGTTGTAGAGGAGGTGTTTTTCACTGAAGGTTTGCTTTGCGATGAATTTTTAAGTGATGAACAATATATCAGATATATAATCAGAATATATCGGGTATGTTAATAAAACATTACAAACACAAATCACCACTGTAACATATTAGTTATTTTGGCTGGAAATTCAATTAAAAATGTTTTATATACACTACTTACAAGTCTCCACGTTATTTTAATTCCTTTATTCCACAAGGTGCATTAATCAAAAAAGTGACATTTATGAATATTAAAAGATTTCTATTTCAAATAAATAATTCTCTTTTAAACTTTCTCAAAGAACCCTTAAAAAAACATATTACGGTTTCCACAAAAAAAAAAAAAAAATATATATATATATATATATATATATATATATAAAAAATGTATTACGGTTTCCACAAAACTATTGTGAAACAGATTTTAACATTGATGATACTAAAAAAATAGCAAATAGGGTTATTAGAATGATTTCTGATAAAAAAAAATGCTATTATTATTATTACAATTTAAAATGATCAAATAATTGCAGCCTAAATGCACCCAATTCTAGCACCATCACAAAACAGTTTAACATTATGAAACAGTTAGAAACCACACACACACACCTGACATTTAGTAGCATTGGCTGATAATCATATCAACTTGGATTATTAAAAAGTGTTACATGTCTTATCTGTTTTTAGTTAATTATGGACAAATTTTAAAGTAAATAAAAATAAATTTTCATCTTCGGTAATTCTCTCTCTATATATATATATATATATATATATATATATATATATATATATATATATATATATATATATATAATATATTTATATATTTTTTTAAACACTTTATAGTCAACCAATTAGCTTATTTTTCTCATTTATTATTTGCTTGCTTCAGTGGTGTTCAATTACACCTAAATCTACATTTTCCATGTAGCAGAAATCTCTCTCTCACTCTCAAACACACTTCTAATGAGACTGCATGTGTTGGCCCTCCAGCCTATTTTGGTATCTCGACTTTTCTTCGTAAATAATGCAATGTTCTCCTCCCAGGTCCTGGGCAGCTGCATTCTCTGGAGGACACCATTTCAAACAGGGAAGACCATTTCTCTCACGGAGACTCATGGATTGAAGAAACAAACAAAATACACTGCACAGCAAAACGGAGTCTGAAAGGAAGCCAGTAGTCATGCTAGTTATTCATTGTTTCTACGAATAATGAAACCCTGAGGTCACATCCAATTTCCCATCCCTTCTTTTTGCACCAACTGAAATACAAGTTAATCTAATCTTAAAAAGTAGAGGCATGCTGAGAAACAAACAGCACGTTAACAAATGCTACACTTCCACAGCAGTGTCAGCAGATTAGATTGTTTCATATAAAAAGCCCTACAGCTAGGCCGCAAGGAAACGCTTTATTTAAATTAACTGAATTCCTGAAAGATCAATTCAGGATGGGGTTGGGGAGTAACTAACCGACGCTACTGACTTTAATGCATTTTTCAGTTGCATGACAGTAGCTCAGCTGCTTTAGTGTAGCTACAAGACCTGATTTCAGTGAATCACTTGCAGTATATTATGTTTGTAGTTAAATGCTGCAAATTCTGAAATTAGAGAAATTAGTTAACTTTAATGCTGACAACTCAACTGAGATGCGTTATTGTGTGCCTAATAAATACTGCTTTATATCATCGTAAACGCATCTTCAATCAGTCCCAACATTTACTTGTCCATGTTGTTATGGTATCAGACGGAATGACGTGTTTTATGATATTTGCTCCTAGCTGAAAGGTTCAGGTAAGGGCTTGAATGAAATGTCAAACTGTAGCCTCTTCCCCCTGTCTGAGTACCTTCTCCTCAGACAGATACTACCGATATTAGATATTTTCTTGAGATACGGGCTGTTCTCACATCAGAAAAACTCAAATTAATCTTTGTAAACATTAGTCTTTGTACAAGTGTAGGCACATAGTTCATGTTAGGAGAATCATCTGTCTTTTCAAGTCAAACTGAATAAACCTGGCTAGACTGACTACTTTAAATAAAAGCACTTACCAGATTTAGAAGTTCACCCCATAAACCACAGAAACATACCTAAAATGCTGAAGGTAAGAAAGGAAGTGGGCAGGCCCATCATGCATTATGCACACTGCAGCCCTGTCATGAAGATGTCCTCAGGGGATGATGATGATTACATGCTCTACAATTTGTATCAGCACTAAATGTGACACCGATCTCACTGCTATAAATCATGAGGTTTCATTCCATAAGAGAGCCCTTGGCAATCACTAGAATCTTCTCTGATGATGTACATGGCTGAATGATAGGAAAATAATACTACACTGCCCACCAGTGGCTGAGTTTGCAATGACAGAGATACCCATAATGCAAACATAAGAGGGCAGTTTGCATGTATGGAATATGGTATATTTTAGAAGTTAATTCGCCTTTGGCTAAGCCCCGCCCCCCTTAGTTACTGTTGCTACGTCCGACAAACAAACTTCATCTGGGCTCTGGTATCAACATGGCTTATGCTGTGTCAGCTCTTCCTGCTGAAATTTTATCAAACTTTTATAAAGCAGCAAATAAAGTATCCGATAGAAGTAGGCAAAAGGGGCTGCAATATACGTTCGAAGGCTATATTCACGACATACAGGTGAAACGCAAGGAACAACAAGGCATCCAAACAGAGGCAAAAGCATACCGGTCACAGTCAAAAAATGAACCACCGCATATCCTACTAATGGAGACGGAGGCTGGGACTAACAATATCAAGGAGCAACACTGTTCATGCAAAGCTGGGTAGGTCTCTATTCACTTCTATAATCGTTATTACAAAGCAAACGGACTACGCGAGTATAACGTTGTATTTATTAGCAGCGTGTGCTAGACGACACTTGTCAGGATTTGACTTCGGTTTTGGGAAGGGAAAAAAACGCACACCCCCCTCCAACCTCTCTGGGAAACGCGTATCTGTGTTACAGATGCCCCAGGCACAACGTTTAACCATATTTTTGATAAAACTACGACGGTAATAGCCTGCCGAGACCAAAAATATGAGACGCCTGTGTTAAAGGCAATGGAGCGCTGTGAAAAAGTGTCGGACCACTGTGGGAGCTCGTTCTTGGCTGCTCTGTGATTGGTCAATCTACATTCTAGGGTGTGGCTTAGCCAAAGGCGAATTCAAAATAAAACTATCACTTTTTTTTATATATATATTATACTATATATAATATTTATTATGGATGCACCGATACCACTTTTTCCAGAAGGAGTTCAACACGGTTAATTTTATTTCGAGTACTTGCCAACACCTGTACTTTCATTGCCCAATATTAAAATAAATAAAATAAAAGCAAAGGAATCAAAAGAATACAAACTAAATTACTTAGCTTAGCAAATAGATATTTCCACACCTAATTAATACCAGTTAAAATATTTTGTAGGAGCTACTGTTACTTTCACTGTTCATATTGTATTGTATCACATTTTAAATTTTCACTTAATAGCACAGCGAATATTTAGAACTGATATGCACGCTAGGGCTGTCAACGAATATTCTAAATTCGAATATATATTCGAATAGTTTTAAAAAACAGAAATTCGAAGGTGAAAATTAATATTCGAATCATGTGGAAAAACACGCCCGCGGTAGCAGAGGCGCGGCTGTCTGCTTTGCGAGTGGCAAAATTCTGAAGCTTAAAATGTAAAACGCATTTTCCAGCTGCACAGACAGATAGCACAGTGAGTGTCTGGCTCACTCATTGGCTGTGCTGCGTCAACTGCACATCCAATGGCACGGGCGCCTCCAACGTGTGCGCCAACGAGCTAGCATTACATCAGACACGTCAGAGGCCGCCAATGGGGGCGTGGCCAGACGCCCTCGAAATAGCCATAGTAGCAGGCTAGCAGCAGCAGTTTACCACAGCACAGCTGGCTCGGAGCGTTCAATGTCGGTTCTATATACTGTAAAACTGAAATTAACGGTAATAATATTTGCTTCAATCACCGAATGAAGCCTGCTATATTTAGGACAAGAGTCGCGACCTTAAATTGCTTGCACAAAACTCTTGATCAGCACTCAACATTTGTTTATTGTTGTTCATTTAAACCGTTATGCGCAGAGAGCGTGAGGACGAGAGAGAGAGAAAGAGAGAGAGAGTGCCTGCGAGTGCGAGCGAGAGTAAGGTCTGCGGTCTTGGCCATTAGTTGATTTACTTGGTTTTGTGTAAGTTAATACGTTGTCAAATATCTTTAAACTTAAATAAACTACCTATACAAGTAGTTGTGTCTCTTTGTATTAATTTGTCCTGTTATTAACGTAATGCGCGTCATTGACAAAATGCGCAACCAGATATTCGAATAGTTCGAATATATGGGTTGTTTTTAGAGGGAATATTCGAACGTCATTTTTTAGCAATTTTGACAGCCCTAATGCACGCACACACAAACAGATCCCAACACTGGTTTACACTTACCTGTCATGTGGATACCTCCGAGCCCCGTACTGTGATGATGTTGCTGTTGTGGTGCCAAGTTCAAGTCCAAGAAGCTGCTATGCTGGGCAGCAGAAGAGGCCCCGGTGTGATTCAAGTGTTGGAGGTTATTGCGCATGTGCATGCCCATCCAACTGTGGCGAGAGGTGTGCGTCTGGCCGGGAAAGCTGAAGGAGTTGTAGACGGTGCGGTGTGGAAGCTGGGAGAAGCCTCGTGAGGGCAGGCTGGAGTTTGGGGCAAAGTGTGAGGACGTAGGAGGCTGAAGTGCGCTTTTCATGGAGGGGGTGTTGTGTAGCGGGCCGAGTAAAGGCCCGTGGGGGAAGACTGGCCCTGACATTGTGGTGGTCAGGGGCAAGGAGGCTTTATCCTGCACTGAGAGCTCATTCTCTATGAGGTCAGCCAGTGCCTTACGGGTGACGTCAAAAGGGTCAAAGCCTAGGTCGTCATCCTGCTGCTTGGTCGAAGAGCCGAAACCGAAGGCCGCTTGCCAGTCCGTGGAGGACGACACTGGTATGGTTTCTGTCAGAAAGAAGACAAATAAGTGTACATGTCACATTTTTCTCTTTCATGTGAATGAGTAAGTCTAAACGGGTCCAGGTACCTGATGTGAAGAGGCTCTGTGGTTCTGGGGCAGTGGGCCAATCGGAGTTGCTGTGAAGGGAATTGGAAAAGCTGGGAAGGCCACTGGGGATGGGATTGGGGTGCCGAAAGTTGCTGTTGTCTGAAAAGAGTGATTGTGACTCGGCAGCTGCTCCTTCGAAAGGCGACCGTACTGTCAGTCCTGCTACACAAATAGGCACCACTAGAGATGGCTTGGTCAGGCCAGGAGGGGGCGATGGGGAGTGGTTGCCAGAAATCTGAAGAGTTTAGTAAAGGGGAGAAAAAAATCATGTTGTTAAAACATTAGTAACTTCCCTAATAAAAGAAAAGTGATTCAGATAACATGATTTAGGTGTACAGCTTGCCATTCTCAAAGGTACAGAACGAACATGCAATCATGAACTTACTTGTGATGTTTCTCCATTACTTATGCTGAAGCAATCTGAAGATTTGTTACTCGGGCTGCAGGAAAATCAGGAAGCAGGAATCAATTACATTCATATACTACCAGCATTACACCAATGAGATCATTTAGAAAGACGGATGACCTTAACTGTTTATTGCCTAATATCTAATGGTTGGATTGGGGAAGATATGGGTGGTTTTGGTGTGATGGAGAGCTTTTGTCTTTGTTCTGTTAGTACGTATGCATGTATGTGAAGTATGTTTTTCTCGAGGTCCCCTCGAAAACGAGATGTCACATCTCAAGGGGTTTTCCTCTTAACAATAAATTTGGTAGTTGCATAGACTGTCAATGGAGGGACAGAAATCTCTCAGATTTCATAAAAACATCTTAATTTGTGTTACCGAAAATGCAAGAAAGTCTTACAGGTTTGGAACAACATGAGGGTGAATCAAAAATCAATCATTTTTGGGTGAACTAACCCTTTAAGATGTTTTAAAGATTTACATTAACATGTAAATGTTTAAATAAATAAATTGACTAAATGTTTGTGATTTTACAAACAAATTGAATGCTTAACTTTTTCATTTTGAAAATGTTTCTGTGAAATTCAGCATGTTTTAATTAATTTATTTATTTTTATTTAATTTTCTCTTTCTGGAGTAGACTATTTAGTGATTGTTCTACCATCCAACAATGTCTTTAACACTGTAACCTTGGTGCCCTTAAGTCTTTGAGAATAAGGCGATGAAATTTTCAGCAAAGGAAAAGGCTGACAGAATAAGGCACAGGGCAGAAGTTCACAGGCTGGCTACCTGACAGGGTCACAATTTGACGTGAAGGGAGGCAGGCCAGCGATGGAGCCAAGGCCCAGCTCTGTGTCCAGACCGTCTGGAGTCATGTTTTCAGAGTCTGAGACGCCATCTAGAGGTGGGGTCCCATAGTGTTCTGGAAGCCCATTGGGCATCTTCCCTGTGGTTTGTAACGAAGGCCACGCCTCTTTGTTGTTACTGTTGGAACTGGGGGTCATGATACAAATGCAAGATTAACAACAACACTATGAGATGCTCCTTCTGCTTCATGCAATATAAAAACTTTAGATGACCAGACTATAATGAATTAATTTTATTTGAATTATAATAATAATTATAATATTTAAAGTTTGAACACATACTAATTCTTTTTCGAATATTTTAGAATAAAAGAAATGAAAAATATGAAATAATTCCCACATCAATGCGTGTTATTTCTGAATAAATATATACCAATGAATAACTTTTTTTTTATTGGAGCAGCTGGGAAAGGTACAATTGAGTACAAACCTCTGTGATGTGCCTGATTTGCCCTTTGTCTTCTCCCCTGCCGAGTTCTGCAGGAAGTTGGGGTTTGTTTTGTAGAGGTCCTGTAAGAGTTTCTGTTCATATTCCTGATGTTTTCCAGCCTGAAATGTCAAACGTTAAGAGTTCATATGCAAGTTTGTCGACGTGAGTAAACAGGTTGCAGGAGGCTGCAACGTTACCTGCATTTCTTCTTTTGTGAAACTAGCAGCTTCGTCTCCCAGCTCGTGAAGATACATGCAGTCTGGTTTGGGACACTGCATGCTTTTTAGAAAATAACTGCAGTATTTTGTTGTACCTAAAGAAGCCTGCATGAAAAAAAAAAAATGGGTGTATACTGTATTTAGATATATGCCGAAAGATGTAAAAAAAAAACAGCTTGTATACAAAGTCATGTAACCTCACAATTACCTCAGAAAAGCCATTCAATGACCATAAACTTGTCAGTCAGCTAGAAAAATTAATATATGCACTGTATTGCAAATTCACTGTATTTTAAATGCAAGTACCATACAAATCAGTTCATTTTAACCTTTAATATTACAGTGATGTACCAACTTGGGTTCCCTGTATAATTTACAGCATTAGTTGAGAGATATTTTTTACTTGAGGAAATTTGCCACATGCTGTACCTGATGGGACCCAATTTATCGATATCAAATAGAATAACAAGCAAATTTGTTTCAACGCCCAGCCCTAACTGAAAGTCTATTGCTTTTCATAATATTGGACTATTTGTCACAAAGTTTACCTTAAGTGTTCTGCCGTCTACTACAACATTGTTAACACATTGTATAGCTCTGAGGGCATCTTCTGATCGAATGTAAGTGACGTAGGCACTGGCGCTAGGACCCTGGGGACAAAAATCAAAACATATTAGATGATTAAATCAGACAAAACAGAGAAATTAGGATAAAACTAAATCAGCAAAACAAAGCAGTATTTATTTGCTGTAGTAAAAAAAAAAAGGACAAATGGCAGACTGTTCAATATGCAAAATATTTTAGCAGGCAAGAGAATGACCAAGAAGAAAGCGAAGCTCACCTGTGAGCCAGCATAAGAAGTGCTGTTATTGATGACCACTTTGTGGATCTTTCCAAACTTCCCGAAGTACTCCGGCCTTTTTAAAACCTGCAATCAGACATCAATTATATATTTAAAAAGCCCTGATTGCTGTTTGCAGATCATCAACAGCACAAGCAAATGCAGTTTGTTTAGTGGAGTCACACAGGGAGAGAGCACACCTGATTATCATGATTCATCGGAAGGATATGACTCAATCACCATTTATTACAAGAGAAGGCCATATGAAATCTAGGTTAGGAACTCAATATACACCATCAGCACTGTGGCAAATATCATTTAGCAATTTAAACCACATTTCTTACACCAACAAAGATCATGTCTACTTATAAAACCTTACATAAGTAAACCGTTTTACACAACAAGGCTTTTGAGGACGAGATAAAAACAGGATTTGTGTGAATGACATACTGTATTAAGAACCGACGATCTAAACACTATCAACAGGATGTCCACAATGTTCAGCCAAATCAACACTGAAAACAAAGTGTGGCACACAAGTAGGTCTCTAGCAGCGGGTGACTGACAGCTCATTGGCGGAGGGCTTCGCCTCGATGGCATGGTGCTTTTGAAATTCTGGTCACTCTTGAACTGTGAAAGCAGTCCGGATGTTTCTTTGCGGTCTTTGTTCGCGTAAAGCAGCTTCACTCACTATGTTTTTTGTTCTTTTTCACACCCTCAGTGTGAAACAAAAGCACAAAGACTAATATGGTAAAGGGACGATTGATACAGAAAGAAAATTAAGGCAAATCCTATAAATTAAAGACCTCTGAAAAACAGTCACTAACATAGATTTGATCGGGGGTTTTTTAAGCTTTGTGCTCCTAATATCATTCGGAAAGGAATTAGAAGGCATGTTCTCACTCTCTCTCACTGAATAACTTGTTCTCTGCTGAGAGCTATTCAGGGTACATGACGTTAGCTGTGATGGCAAAGAGGGAGAGAAAGAGTGTCAGAGAGAAGGGAGCGAAAAGAGAGTGAAAGCTGTTTTCGTGGGCTGGTAATGAAGGCTAAGTGCAGCAAATGGGCAGCTAGCTTTCTCCCATTTTCCCAGGAAAACATTTAATCTCATGTTTTATTTCCATTTGACGATATCTGGCATAAAAATCAAATCTTCACATCTTCAAGGATTTTCTTGCAGCTACATGGAAGCAATCCTGCACAATACATCAAGAGAACAGCCATAATAATAGGTAATAGGTATGCTTTACCATGGCAAAGTTGCTTTGGAAGCACTAAAAGGCACATTTTACCTTGTTGACAGGTAATTACTAGCGGTCAGTCGATATACAGGTCCTTCTCAAAAAATTAGCATATTGTGATAAAGTTCATTATTTTCCATAATCTAATGATAAAAATTTAACTTTCATATATTTTAGATTCATTGCACACCAACTGAAATATTTCAGGTAGTGCTGGGCAACGATTAAAAATTTTTATCGCGATTAATCGCATGATTTTCTTGCGATTAATCGCGATTCATCGCATTGTTACGCGCAAAATTGAATAATGAATTATAAAGTACTGTATTGTGCACTTTTGATTTAAATGTACTGCTACAAAAGTGCAATAACATGTGGTTTGCAAAAACTTTAAACAAATAAGGTGCTTTTATACCAGCGGTATTCCCTTTACACAGTATCAATAAAATATTTCTTGTAAATCTCAACTTAAACATTAACGTAATCAAATCAAATATTTAAACAAAGCTATTTGCCACTGCCAGGGCATTACCTTTTATCTAGCTTGTTAAAAGGAGTCCAGTTTTCTTGTTTTCTGAACAGGTATCTTGTATCAGGGAGCAGCAGAAACAGTATGTAGTCAAAGGGTCATGATCACTACTACAGATATAAGTCGACCAACGTTACTTCTCTGATAGCAGCTTAGGTTTGGTCATGGCATGCCATGGTTTCCCACGTAAGATTACATTAAACAGAGGTAAAGCCCAATTTATACTTCTGCGTCGAACTCACGCCGTAGCTGTGTAGCGCGCGTACCCTGACGTGCATCTCTCCAAAAATGTAACGTCAATTCTACGCGTACCGCAAGCGCTGTGATTGCTAGAACCGCTCCCCGGGTTTCACACTCTCCCTCTACATGTGGACAACGACGCAGATATAAATGAAAACCAACGCGTAGTCTATAGCGTAGAGGCTCCGGCTTAGGTCCGACGCAGAAGTATAAATCAGCCTAGAGTGAGGTGAAGTGGTCGAGCACAGGTGCAGCGACAAGCGGGTGCGTTCCTGTGAAACTGTTGCGGTCATGCTCGCCTCACGCACGCGCCCGCGCGTTGCCGAAGTTGAATTGTCTAACTTTTTGTACACGACGCGCAGCACAAATCATTGGAAGAGAGACTGATCCTCGGCTCGCTGTTTGTGAGTTTCCAGAATCTAAATAGTTATCAAGACATCAACAGGAGGGAATTCACATGGCAGAGCATCCCCGCTAAACTAAACGCAGGCCTATCAGGTAAAGTTATGTTTAATTTTAATTTAAGTTAAAAAGGCTACAGCTGCGTAGCGCACAGAAGCCGTGGCCATGGTTACTATCCATAGAGCGCCTATCATTCACTCGCGGAGCGCTGTCTCCCTTTCTGTTCACCTGAGAGAACCTGCCAAAGCCTCTCCACTGCTGGTTTGGGTGGGTTATTTGCTGGCTGACCAACATCCCACCCCTCCTGTGATCATGGTTTGACTGTAGGCCTATGTGTATTCAGAGCCAGTGAGCAACGGACTTTCAAAATAATAATAATAATAAAAAAAATGCGTTAACGCGCGATAAAAAAATTGTCGGCATTAATTAATAAATGCGTTAACGCGATAATAACGCGTTAACTTGCCCAGCACTAATTTCAGGTCTTTTGTTTTAATACTGATGATTTTGGCATACAGCTCATGAAAACCCAAAATTCCTGTCTCAAAAAATTAGCATATCATGAAAAGGGTATCTAAACAAACTATTAGCCTAATCATCTGAATCAACTAATTAACTCTAAACACCTGCAAAAGATTCCTGAGGCTTTTAAAAACTCCCAGCCTGTTTCATTACTCAAAACCGCAATCATGGGTAAGACTGCCGACCTGACTGCTGTCCAGAAGGCCATCATTGACACCCTCAAGCAAGAGGGTAAGACAGAAAGAAATTTCTGAACAAATAGGCTGTTCCCAGAGTGCTGTATCAAGGCACCTCAGTGGGAAGTCTGTGGGAAGGAAAAAGTGTGGCAAAAAACGCTGCACAACGAGAAGAGGTGACCGGACCCTGAGGAAGATTGTGGAGAAGGACCGATTCCAGACCTTGGGGGACCTGCGGAAGCAGTGGACTGAGACTGGAGTAGAAACATCCAGAGCCACCGTGCACAGGCGTGTGCAGGAAATGGGCTACAGGTGCCGCATTCCCCAGGTCAAGCCACTTTTAAACCAGAAACAGCGGCAGAAGCGCCTGACCTGGGCTACAGAGAAGCAGCACTGGACTGTTGCTCAGTTTTGCATGTCATTCGGAAATCAAGAAGCCAGAGTCTGGACGAAGACTGGGGAGAAGGAAATGCCAAAATGCCAGAAGTCCAGTGTCAAGTACCCACAGTCAGTGATGGTCAGCTGCTGGTGTTGGTGCACTGTGTTTTATCAAGGGCAGGGTCAATGCAGCTAGCACTCAGGAGATTTTGGAGCACTTCATGCTTCCATCTGCTGAAAAGCTTTATGGAGATGAAGATTTCATTTTTCAGCACGACCTGGCAACTGCTCACAGTAGGGGTGTGCCGGTTTCAGAATTGGTGATGACTGTTATGACGTGAGTCAAATGTGACGGTTCGTAACATAACCGTCGTCAGGGGGGGGGTTTGTAAATAACTGTTCGTCTGTTATAGGACAACTTAGTTTGAATAAACAAGCAGACACTGATTAGCTACTGGCGTTTATTTAACATGAACAGCAAGACAACTAGAAGTGAATGTGTTTTCCATTAAATGTATCACACAGTAAACAAATCCTTAACAAACAAAACAAATAAACGTTGCAATGAACGTGCTTTGTTTTAAATAAATCACACAGAGTAAACAAAACCTTAACGAAAAAACTTTGGAATGAACTTTGCAATTTAGACGCGTAAACTGCGTGCCGGTGCGGTGAGACGTGCATGCTCGGGCAGATTCGGCTTGAAGTCGGTTATCCTCGGACGCGGCGCCGTGCGCGCTGTTACAAAAAAGCCCTGCACACAGCCAAGCCAAATGGGGTCTTGCGCACCTTCGCGCTTGTGCGGACGCGTCGAGTATAAACAAGGCTTTACTCCATGTCAGCGCGCGCTCTGACCGGTAAAGTACAGACAGACCTCTCCCGAATCATCTCCAGCAGTAGCAGCCTCCGTTTCCCTCTTAAAGGGATAGTTCGGCCAAAAATGATATTTAAACCATGCATTACTCACCCTCAAGCCGTTCGAGAAGCATATGTCAATCTTGTTTCAGACGAACACATTTTCAGTTATTTTAGAAAATGTCTTAGACCCTTCAGTGGATATAATGTGAAGCAATGGGGTCCACCTCCTTCAAGTCCCAAAATGTGCATATATCCTTCACAGAAGTAATCCATCCGGCTCCAGGGGGATAAACGAAGGCCTTATGAGGGTAATCCGTGCGGTTTTGTCGTAAAAATATACATATTTAAAACTTTATAAATGAAAATATCTGACTTCCGGCAACGATCGACGCGCGTCTACGGGTGATGGAAGTCGGCGTACGAGGTAGGACGTAGCGTTGTGACGTAGAACGAACGCGCCCGCGCAGCCAGAGAGCAGAGCAAAACATCACCCGTGAACGCGCGTCGATGGAGCCGGATGGATTACTTTTGTGAAGGATATATGCACATTTTGGGACTTGAAGGAGGTGGACCCCATTGCTTCACATTATATCCACTGAAGGGTCAAAGACATTTTCTAAAATAACTGAAAATGTGTTCGTCTGAAACAAGATTGACATATGCATCTCGAACGGCTTGAGGGTGAGTAATGCATGGTTTAAATATCATTTTTGGCCAAACTATCCCTTTAAGCTGATATTAGTATTTAAACATTCTCTATGATAAAAAATGTTTGCAAAAAATATTTTAATAGCACGGTTTTGGCGGTTATAGAGTTCTAATGACGGTGTTCAACTATAACCGTCGGTCTCACGGTTATATAATAACCGTCACACCCCTAGCTCACAGTGCCAAATCCACTGGTAAATGGTTTACTGACCATGGCATTACTGTGCTCAATTGGCCTGCCAACTCTACTGACCTGAACCCCATAGAGAATCTGTGGGATATTGTGAAAAGAAAGTTGAGAGACGCAAGACCCAACACTCTGGATGAGCTTAAGGCCGCTATCGAAGCATCCTGGGCCTCCATAACACCTCAGCAGTGCCACAGGCTGATTGCCTCCATGCCACGCCGCATTGAAGCAGTCATTTCTGCAAAAGGATTCCCGACCAAGTATTGACTATTGAGTGCATAACTGAACATAATTATTTGAAGGTTGACTTTTTTTTTGTATTAAAAACACTTCTTTTATTGGTTGGATGAAACATGCTAATTTTTTGAGACAGGAATTTTGGGTTTTCATGAGCTGTATGCCAAAATCATCAGTATTAAAACAATAAAAGACCTGAAATATTTCAGTTGGTGTGCAATGAATCTAAAATATATGAAAGTTTAATTTTTATCATTACATTATGGAAAATAATGAACTTTCACAATATGCTAATTTTTTTAGAAGGACCTGTATATATATATATATATATATATATATATATATATAACCCAGTACCTGAGCAACCAGGAGCTACAATTCTCAGTCTTTATTAGGTTACTGTCTTTCTCTCGGTTCTTTAATAATAGAAAGGCAAACGCTTTTTAATTTACCGTCTGAATTCAGAAAACATGCATTTAAACATTATATACACTGTGTACTGTATGTAAAATTAGTGTTGATTCCCAGAGCGCACCATTTACCAGAATATTGTTGTTTGCTTTTTATTAAATGTTTTTAACGATTTCTTTATATTTGAAAATGCAATATATATATATTTTTTTTTTTGTAATTATCAAATTATTTTAGCAATTATGTCAAATTAAGATACATCTAATACCAAAAATTGCTGTGCTAGTGTCATTTACCATCTTTACATTGAATAGTATGATCTGCCTGCTCTCCAAGATATCGGCAACCTCTATCGGTTGACCACTAGTAACTACTTGATTAGAGTCAGATCCAGATTATAAATCCTGTGAGTCAGATGGGTCTTTTTACACAGAAGGATGTGAACTCGAAATGTCCTTTATGTTCTTTACATCCACTCATGAAAGTCTTCAGATATGATAAATGCAGATAGGATAAATGCTCCACTTAAACAGATAATACCTTGATAGGACACAGAAGAGAAAATGTGACGTGTACCTTTCTAAATCTTGCTTGCAGTGAAACTTTTATTAAACATGGAAACCATATGTGGGTGAATTTTGAGAGCTCACTACCAAAAACCACCAAGATAAATATTGAGCCTTGGTGTTTGAATATGGACTTCCTGAATTGTTTATATTGAGTGTGAATGACATCAGTTACACAGAGGTCAGGAAAGCATGAGTTTTGCTGAATCACCTCAGGGTCGGCGAGTCTCTGTGAAAGGCCCACCACAAACACTAGGTTTCTCTGGACGACTCGCACACTGGAGAGGTGCTTGCGGTTCTCTGTGATCTTCTGCTTCCGCTCATTCTGCTTCTGCTTCTTCTCGTTCTTTATCCTCTGAAGTTCTTCTTGAGAGAGAGGTTTGTACACCGCAGGGTCTTCTGGATAGGGCTGAACCAAACATAAGATTCTAGACGTAAGATGACTTCATTCTAGAAGATGGATCTTGTTTCACTAAATTAGGTTATGACAGAATATTATTTAAAAAAAATTAAGTTTATGTTATTGCCATATCAGAATCAAAGGCAATATTCATGGCATAAGAAATAAATACAACACATAATAAAATGTCTTAAATCTTAAGTTTAAAATCACAAAGTAACATTGTATCAATGCATGAAACACAATGAGTTATTTAAGACTTTACAGTGTTTCATTTTGAAGTGCAAATTTAAGATGTTTTAATATGCCACAGATTAAGGATCAGCGGACACCCTGGAGTTCTCTTTAAGATCACCCACTGGAATGATGATGATGATATTGCATGATATATAATGCAATAAACATGGATAAAATAATGTGCATTAAGCACAAAAAGGTTAAGGAGCTGCAGTAAACTGGCCACTACAGGGACTGGTTTTAGTGAGTGGATGGGAGTGTTTATAAAAAGAATACAAGCACTGGAGAACTGTTGTGCTGCACATGTTCCCTCCACACAGCTGTACAGCACAGATAAAATCACGCAGAACCTGAGGCAACAGCAGGAGCGTGAATTAATCCAGCAAAGTTGCCTGGGATGCTGAATGCTAGCCATTAAAACATCTCATCTCCTTGAGCTCCCCAATGGAGCAATTTCTTTGAAACAAATTAATGGTTTCTCGACATATTTGTTACCTTTCTGCAGGCTGGACAGAGGCCGTTCTCGTCTGTGCGTATGCGATGCCAGCAGAAGCGGCAGATCTGGTAGCCGCAGGTGCAGGGGAAGAAATTGACGTCATCAATCTCCAATGGTTCCATGCACAGTGGGCACTCCATGGGGTCCTCCTTCACCTCAGGGCTGCGGGACATCCTATGGCACGGCGCAGAGAAAAGAGCGGGGTGTTCTCACAGTTCAGAGGCAGAGCTGAGGAGAAATTTTTTTTGAAGTTTAACATTTTTAATAATAACATTTCAATGTAAAAAATTTACTTAATATTAATTTACATTTTAGTTACGCTTCAATACGTTTAATTAATAGTAATAATGGGGTTTTTTGTCCATTATGGGCCAAAAAGTTTCAAACAAATGAAGCTTATTTAGAATTTAGAAATGCAGCCAATATCTACAAAAATCTCATTTCCTTCCAAAGTGTGTAGGCCTAATCTTAAGAAGTAAGACAGAATTAGGCTCATATCCTTCAAATAGTCTCAAAGCACAGCACACTAGAGGTTGCATCAGCAAGCCAATAATGATTCTGCTACTAGTAAGAGTGTGTCTGCGTGTGTGGGAGGAGTTTAAAACTTCAGTCATGAGAGGAATTGAAGGCATAATTGGAATCGACAAGCACAAACACCCACACAAACAATTGCAACAGTTTCATAAACAAGTATATGTATCCTCTAGGGATCATCCTGTGAACTGGTAGTCTAAATGTGTAGGTGCAGATTCAGCAATTACTGAAAATGAGGTTTTGGATCCTCGTATGGAACACAGATCCGTGGGCACATGACAAGGTTCGCTGAACATAGGATGCATTGGTTGAAAACCAATTTAATGTCTCTGTGGTATTATGTGTGGGAATGTGACTGCTAGCATCTTCATTTAAAACACTAATAAAAACTAATGTCGGAGTCCTAGTGCGCCAAAGAAAGGGGGGGGGGGGGGGGGGGGATTGGTTCAAGCTAATTTACCTCTTAGTGCCAATCAGTTTTATTCTTCTGGACACATTTTTGTCGTCACATTCTGGTTTGGAGTCTTTCTTTCCGCTGTAGTACTTAAACTCCTACGTATTAACAACATGGACTAGCACAAATACAGCAGTTTGTCCGAGACACTTCTGTTCCCTGGTGGCACTTCCCTAAGAGGTTCATTTATCAAACAATGGTCTGAACGAAGCTCCCAAATGTGAGCAAATACAGAACAGCCTTGTGTTCATAAACAAACAAACCGGAATATGAAGCTTCCATGCAGAGACTCATCTATGTCATGTTAAACTTACAAACTATAGTCAGGGCTCCAGGCATTTTGTAACTTTCCTACCACTGACAGGGCTCCAGACTAACTTTTCCACTGGTTGCACTGGTGCTACCAACTTTCTCAGTTGGTCGCACCAGCATATGATTTGGTCGCACCTTTTTTCTTTTCTTTTTTTTTGCTACATGCCATGGGATTAATCAATGCATGCTGATGAATAGTGGTTTTAATGGACCAAGGCTAGCAAAGGCTTTCTGGGTTGCAGCAGAAATACCTGTAATATATTAATTATCATTGCCAAATTTCAGGATTTTCATGGATTTTGGACAGTAATTTTAATCTGTAATTTTAAGCATTTTACATTTGAATTATGTACAATCTATTTACATTTGAATCGTATTCTATCTATCTATATCTATCTATCTATCTATCTATCTATCTATCTATCTATCTATCTATCTATCTATCTATCTATCTATCTATCTATCTATCTATCTATCTATCTGTCTATTATCATCTTTCTATCTTTTAAAAATCATTAAACATTCGAATGTATGCATTACATTTTAAAAGATTAGAGTATTATAATAAACTGATACAGATTTTTCGTTCTCAAAGTTTATAGTTGTAACAAAAAGCAGAAATCTCACACTCCTGCATTTTATAATAATTTCCTTTTCCTCTGTCGAGCGATCATGAGAGTAATCGCTCGACAGAGGAAAATATAACCGCTGAAAAGACGTAGGAGGAAGGGGCTCTGTGTTTCGTGAGACCATTTTTATCATTTTTATATGCCTTAATTCGTGAATTCGTAATTGGCGCGTTTCACCATCAGTGTGCAATGCGCGTGACGTCTACATTCGTCAATAAATAAACTGCACGTGTCTTGCGGAAGAACATTGTAGACGGAGCTACTTCTCTCCGTTAATGTCTATGGCGAGTCACGCAGGCACTGGGCTACTCCGCAGCCGAGACGACCCCGGGATAAAATAGTCCGAATATAAACACTTATTATAGGCGTACCGTTGTGATTCAGAATAAGTCAAAAACAAGGTTTGAAAAATGGATTCATGATGTAGCCTACTCGTTCATTTTGAACATAAGCTACGGACTGCAGCAGCTGATACAACGGCGTTCTGTTGCTCAAGCGTCCACTCGCACAAATGCGACCACATAACATTTTAACTCGCACATTCTCAAAAAATGGTCGCATATGCGACCAATTTGGTCGCAGTCTGGAACCCTGACTGACTCAATTTTGTTAGAGGTCCCAATGGTGCCACCACCACGTTGCCCAACTGACAAGACTCCTTTCAAAAACAAAACAAAAAAACATCTTAACCCCAAACTTTTGAATAGTAGTACATGTATATATAGCCTCATAACGACCAGACACAGACTAAAAGCCAACAAAACCCATATTTTGATTTCATGGAGTCTTTATGGTCACTCCGTCAGTAGCGGAAGAACCAGGAGTGTGAAGAGGAGTCAGTGGTTGGGCATGAGTTGATGGGGGGGGCAATCTAAATATACCCCATCCTGGGAAGGCAGAGTACAGCAGGAGGAGTCAGCCCCTTGAATCTCCCTTTAAAAGGGAAATGCTGATTGAACACAGAGGGCGGTGTGAGCTACATGTAGGGTAATCACTTCCTGAGATCCACACAGTCTCACTCTCACCCCAGCTAGTGTTGTGGGAAGGGGGTGGTGAAAATGAAGCGTACCATCTCCTTAACGTGCCGATATGGAATTAGAAACTGTATAAGAGTTTTTTTTTGCTATGCTCAGAACTGTATGGAAGAAGGAATTCCCACTGTCAGTGAGGATGGGATTCCTTCCCAGTAGAGGCGGATATCAGCTGCAAGTAATGAAAGCTTTCCGCTGGCCCCTGCTGGGAATGATGCATAACAAATATCTAACCATCACTCTCGTCAAAAATCACAATGATTACAAGCCCCAAAAGACACTCAAGCTGCACGGGGCTTGATTCCTTCTGGCATCCAACATCACATGCACATGTTGTGAAAGAAAGATGCATAATATGGAAGGAAACTCCAATAAAAAGTCACAATTGACCTTTGAACAGTTTTAAAAAAAACAGTAACAGAGTGTCAATTCTGATTGTAAACTGAGTGTGAACGCATACCAAACTGGATTAAGTTAAACAGAATCAAGACTTATTATAATTGTTGACCACCAAAGGGGCCAGATTTACCCACAAATCTGTTCTAAGCAGACAGACTAACAAACAAACATGTTTGGAAGGTACTGGGAAAGCGTAGGGACAAACAATGATCTAAGCCTACAATGTTTGAGTGTTGGCGATGGTAGATGTTTTCGTATACATTAACCCAGTGTGCCGTGAGAGCTGAACGCTGAAAGGACGACCTGAAGGGCCCTCAAACCTCTGTGTAGGGGTCGATGTGGAATGATCTTTCTTCAAAGCATACTGAATCCTTAAAGAAAACATTCAAACTGCTAATTGCAAGCCCATCAGGCTTTCTGATTTTCTCCACACCTTACTGAGACTCTCCGGCACACTTCTTCAAAGCATAAAAAAACAAATGAATTCCATTATTTGTTGCCTGAGACCCTGAGAAGTAAACGTTTCTGATCGCTCACTATTAGTACTAATAGCTATGAGCATGCATGTTTGATGGTCAAAATAATTCAGAAAACTTTTGCCAGAACCCTTCATAGAAGACCAACATTTGAAACTACGTAAATAGTGCAAATCTCAGGAACACTGTGGCGTCTAGACATCTTAAATCCATTGTACAACAGAGCACTACTAACCACGCAAAGGATTAAAATAACTACTGTGCAAAACTGCAGCTTTCAACACAAAATAAAGCTTTGAAGACTGACTTAGAAAGTCTTTGGTAACGTTAAGTGATTCTGAAATAGACAGTTAATTTAATGTGCCGGTCAAATCGATGGTCTGAAAACTGAAAGGTGGTGAACATGCAGTTACATCTATTCTAGTAGAAACTGATTTCAATTACCGGTAAGAATCTGATTCCTTACACACAACAACAAACAAATTTAAGTCAACTACACAGCAGTTAACTATTCCTTAACTGCTATAGGCCTACATTAAGACAGACTGTCGGACTCAATTTACAACATTATGATGTTTAATTTGTAATAAATAAAATAAAAGGCTCAAAAACATTTTAAAAGGCTTTTTACGAGGATGTTGTACGCCGTCAAGCTTAGTGAAGAGAGCTGGCATCATTCTGATGTCATAGAAGAGCGTAGCTGAAATTATCATCAGAGTGGGAGTCGTGTCCATTTGTGGGCTGCTCATCATGAGCAGATGGACAAGGCATCGGCAAGGAATAAAAGATATGTCTGTACCACAAATAGCTATTCTGGGCAGACAGAATAAAAGCACAAAAAAAAAACACAATAAAATAAAACATTTGAGACAAAGGGTTCATCCATTTTTTTCTAACATATCTGAGATGGCCCACAGCTTAGGACAAAACAACTTTAATCGTTTCAGATCCTACTAAAGCTGATATTAAAAGAAGACTTTTTCCTGTACTGCCAGGATTGCGGCAGCATCGTTCGGACTGAATGTGAAGGTGCAACTTTTTCAACCAACTATAAAAACGAAGAGCTTGATTTCTATGCAACTGAACACCAAGGCAGAAGTCCATTCAGAATGTGATCATATAGCAGTAATCCTTGCCAGAAAAGTGTCTCACAAACATTGTGTCTGGCATCAACAATGCCTGCCGGACAGTGCACTGGAACTGGGCCTAGACATCCCCGTCCATCTATGATTACTATTAGAATCCACACAAGCAGATCATTTATTTATCGGATATTGTTCTGTTTATTCAAAGCGCATGCTGCAGTTTTGTCTTCTGTCACTTTAAATGCTCGAGCTCGCCTCTTTAAGATGAATTGCTGCTATTCCTCATTTGGATAAAAGCATCTGCTGAATGAACAAATGTAAATGTAACACATGACTTAATAAATGTGCTGGCAAACCTACTGTCAAATTCAAAAGCAAAGTGTTTAAGGAAAAAGTTCACCCAAAAATGACAAATCTGCCATAATTTACTAATTCTTACATTGATCCAAACCTTCATGACTTTCTGCTCTAATACCAGTCAGACAGTCTCAACCACCAATCACTTTGATTGCATCTTTCCTTTCCAACCAAAGTGCTGCTCATTCTGCCTAGCATCTCATTTTGTCTTGCACAGAAGAACAACAATTTGTAATATGGGGCTGGAACAACATGACTGCATATTCATTTCTGGCGTGTCTATTTCTTAAATAAATAAGCTTACAGCTGAAAGACAAAAAGCACATAGTAAGCTCAAAAGGCCCACTGCTGACAAAACAGGATTAATAATGCACACTCAACACAGTAACTACAGAGTCCAGGAACGTGATGCTGTCACCAAACAAAAAAAAAAAGCTCTTTTGAGAGACTCTGGCTTCATATGATTGTTTGCGGAAAGGACAGGTGCATTTGGTCAATAAAAACCAGTAGCAATCACCTCCTGTCAGTGGTCTGCCTTTTGAAACACGCGTCACACACAATAATGAAGGGTGTGGACAAAAAAATATAGAAATGACCTGCAGTAAAAGAGCAATCAATGTCATCGAAATATTTGGCATCACATCTGTAAACTGATGTTGCATCAAGAATGAACAGCAACTTCCTACTCAAATAACAAGGACATTCCCTCTATGTAAAAGTACAGAATCATACACAGAAATTGATTCTGTTTCCTTGTTAATGCATTGAAGTAAACCAGCTAAGCTAATACCCATTTAAGTTATTCAAGAGGCGAAATATACACCAAAACCAGTGTACGTATACTATATACTGTCTCAAAGAATGCATAACAAAAAATAAGTCAGTGTTTGACGAGTCGAGAATTAATTTTAGAGTATTTTATTAAAAGCCGGTCAAACGGTGCGGCTAGCGGCTAACTTACTCGGCTAACTAGACGACTAACGTTAGTCTGTCAAGACTGATAAAGCACGCAAAAATACAGGAATTTCCACAAGAAATGGACGTTTGAGGGAGAAGAGGGATGAGATGTGTTATTTAGAGGTGAATTGAGAGAGGAAAGCAGCTGAATGTGGAGGCGGTGGACAAGAGAGGCCTTAGTGGGATACTCACCCTGTCTATCTGTACAGATTGATTCACAGCAAATAAAATCTATCTGAACGACCCAGGTCTAGCACAACAGGTCGCAATATAATTTCCCGGGTGGCTTGTCACTGCTCCTGTGTGATTTGATGCGAAAACACCAAGCCTTGTTTCTTACAGCCTCTCTGTTGAGCGGTAGTGCCTCCTAACCACCATCTTACATTGAAATAGGGAGGGAGGGGCGTCAAGTTGTGACTTTTCAGCGCATGCGCAGTTGATGATGGACCTTTGCTTTTGTGGGTAATGTAGTGCTACAGAAAGATAGAGGCAATGTTTTAGAGAACTATATTTTGATGGGTGAACTCCGTTATCAACGGTATTATTTTCCAGAAATGTTAGGTCACATTTTTTATTGGAGCAAACTGTGATCTGTTTTAAATTGTATACATTTGCAAAATATATTAATTGCAATGTTTGCAGGCAAATAATAAAGTAAAATATAGAAATAATATATATTTTTACATGACCTATTATGCTTTTACTGCTTTTTGTAATGAATTGATGTTTCAATATTGTTTTACTGTTTAACTCTGCTGCTTTATTGGAGCAAGTTGTCACATATGTGTTTTAATTTAACACATTTCTGCAGTTTATTTATTGCAATATTTGTTTGCAAATAAAATGGATTCATATTTATGCATTACCTTTCACACCTTTCTTGTTTCATGAACAATGTTTCATAATTGTTTTACTGGATAACGTTGCTGCTTGTTAGAGGAAAATCTTTTTAAAATTTAAAACATTTAAAAAAAATGTTTTAAATTTTATACATTTGCAACATTTATTAATTGCAATATTTGTTGGCAAATAAAAAGCATTGTACACTTTTGCTGTTTTATGAATTGTTGTTTCAAAATTGTCAGTTATATGTGCACACTGACTATACATAAAACTATGCAAAACCCCCAAATAATAATACAAACAATAACAATAACTGTGTAAATATATACATTACCCACATATATATATACATGTATAATTACTGGTGAAATATTTAGTTCAGTCCACATTTAAAGGATTAGTACTTGCAAATCATTGTTCTTAAAAATACAAGTCTGTACCATTTCTGAAGTTCAACAGTAGGTGGAGACACAGGCCAAGACTTTTAGAAGAATACATTTCATGTAGTACACATTATCTGGGGTGGCTATCCGAGTCTAGACAGAGGACACATTAATAGTTTAAAAAGAAATGAAAATGATAAATGGAATAATAGAGAAGTTTGTTCTGCCCTACTAGGTTCATTAAAAGACAGGGAATTAAGGTTCTTCATTCTTTAACAGGCAGCAGAGGACATATGTCAGCAATGTCTGTGGCCACGTCCTTTAAAATCTTCCTCTGGTCCACGGTCTGCAGAATAGCTCTAAGATTACACCAAAATACTCGCTGCTTGCGTTCATCTGTGGGCCACTCCAAGTATGTTTTCTGCCTTAGCAGCGTTCTTAACTTTAGATACTTCTTGGGCAGAGAGTCTGTTGGTATGGGCTCCAAAAGAACGAAGACCAGAGAGTCGTCATTCGCGCTGATGGCCCTGTGCTGGGCGAAGAACAGTTCATAGTTGCACCATTCGCTTTGCACAAAGTTTTTGGACAGGATGAAGAGGCTCTTGTAGCTGTCCTCCACACACTGGATTATATTGTCCAGAATCCACTTCCCAGGTTCAAAATCTCTCTCATGGACGCAAAGAGACAGGTCTGACCTTTCTAATTCAGGAACCAGCTGAGAGTCCACCCAGACTGAGTCATGTTGGCTGTAGGAAATGAAGGCATGGTAGCGGAAGGTGGCATTGAGCAATCGATTAGACCTCTTGGAGCCTCTCCTCTTCATTCGTATCCACACCCAAAGCATTTTGGTGTACCAAACACCATCACAAGCATAAAAAGTGACGCCCAGAGCAGCTCCTACCACAAATAACACCGGCAGAACCACAGCAGCCTGCAAGCCCAGTTGACAGGACAGCCACCCGTACTCATACGTCCCCAAACTACTTCCGGAAAACGATGACGCGGTGCTGCAAGCGTAATCCTGTGGCCAATCTAGGAGAAGTGACTTATTCAACTCCGTCACGAACCAAAAGGAATCGCAACCACAGCTAAATGGATTGTGGCCGGCTTTTAAAGTCTTCAGCTTGGGAAGACCTTCCATTGTTTTCTGGCTAATAATAGTAATTGCGTTCTGGTCAATGTGCAGGCTTACTAACCCAGGAGCCCAAATATCTTCCGGGATGACCTGTATGCTGTTAAAGCTCAGAGAGAGGTATGTTAGTCTGGGAAGCAATGATATACTATTTAAAGGAATGACACTTAAGCCTGTTTTCGAGAGGTCTATCTTCTGGAAGTGTGGTGATAAGAAGCGAAACACATCATTCCCTAGATCGTTGTGGCTGAGACTCAGTTCAGTCAGGTGGGACGGCCAAAAACACATCTTGTCTATGAAAATAGAGTTGAAACTCAAGTCAAGAGACTCTAAGAACTTCATATCATTGACTTTATTGGCAATCTCGGCGAGGTCTTTGAAACGGTTATGGCTTAGTGAGAGTTTCCTCAAGGCTGGAAACACTTTGTGTGATGAACAGCCACTCCACCAGAAGCCGTTTTCATCCAAGAGGTTGTTTGACAGGTCCAAGACTTGTAGTGACTTTATGACTGAAATTAGATTACATGGTAGAATATTCATTGCAGTACCAGAGAATTTCAAGTAGGTTAGTTGGTTGATTAGTTCCATGCTCATGTTAAAAGTGGTGAAGCGGTACTGATGGTGACGCACACCATCGAGTATGATCGCTCGTAGATTCATGGTGTGATTCTGCATTGGTAGCTGGAAGCCATCAGGAGTGTCCTCATTGTATGTGATGTTTAAAAACGCAATTTCCTCAAAAGATGATTTCCAAACATTTTTGACCAGTTTGACCATCACAGAGCTGTTTATCCAGGTATCTACAATGCTTAAGTTACTGAGGACACGCAAATCTTTAAAAGCATCAAATGGGTCAGTCGTTATGTCACACTGGTCTGGAAATAACTTAATGAGCTGAATTTTTTTAGTTTGGGTTTGGTCAAAATCTATAATCATGTCTTTGAAAATGTCAAAACGTTGACAAAAAGTCACTTTGAGGATGACTTCCTGTACTGATTTGAGTTGCGAGAAAACACCCTTTTCATAGTTTTGCAATTCCGTTCCATCTCCAAATATGATTTTTTTCAAAGAGATGTTTCGAAGAGGAACAAAGTCTTCCACTTTAACAGAAGTAGCATCTGGACTACCAATCGCAAGGATGGAAAGATAATTTAAGTTACCAAATGAGTGTGGAAGCCCATAGTTGGGATATGGATTTCTGGAAAGGTCTAGGATCCTTAGCTGGGGCAAATGCAAATTTGGAATGATGGTCAGAAGGTTGTAGGAGATGTTCAGAACTTTGATTTCAGAGTTGCTGTGGAAGGCATCAGGGGAGATGTGTTGAAGTCCACAGTGTGTGATTTTCAGAAAGCAGAGATGGGTTAAACCAGACAGGTCACCATAAACAATGCTGGAGATGTTGTTGTGCGACACATCTAAGTACTCTATGTTGTTTGATAAATGTAATGGTATCCTTGTTAGATTATTATCAGAAAGATCTTTTGTGTGTTCAGTGGAACAATTTCCGAAATGTTCACCATGTGCTTTAAACGGAAGAACTAAGAGATATGAGATAACAACAGGGCAGACTGTTGAAGACATCCTGTGGAAATAAAAATATTTTAAAGTTAAAACAGTTACATTTTAAATAATATTCATGGATTAATGAAATTTGATTTATTTTGCTAGATGTGTAACTGAATGAACATACACAAACAAACAAACACATACACACACACATAGGCTACACACAAACACACAGTAATATAATATAATAAAATACTTTACAATTTCCTTGTTTTTGAAATGTACTTATTTTTACATATAACACCACTAAAATACTAAATGACTAAACATCTGCTTTGCCAAGAAGAAAATGAATAAATGGTCATTTACCTTTGATATGAAACGTGAAAATTAGTCAATAAAGAATTTTATGATTTTCCTCCTGTCCATTTGCAGCTTGATCTCTGCTGACCGCACTATTATATGGCTTTATGAAGACACTCTTGCACATGGTATTAACCACATGAAAATACAGAAGGGCATTTTTCTCAGAACTTCTCTAAATGCACAACACTGAACTTCCCCTAAATGAGGAAAAACCGTATTTGGGTAAAAGAGTGCAATAATCACATGTTTGCAAAAATGAAGGAAAATGTCATATTTAATGGCAGTACTGTTAAGTGTTTAACTGCATTACACAAGAAGCTAAGCACTGGAAGTAAAAAAAAAAAGGTAGAGCTAATGCACGACACGAACTGCACGGTATCTCTGAGTTGTGCCATTTCACGATAGAGTGAAAGACAAACAGTACAGTAAAGAGATGGATCTAAATGCAGCAGTTGATTTTATTAAACAAAAGCTCAAAGGAACAAAACACTTGGAACACTCAGACTAAAAAAACATGAACATATCAACCAGTATAATTGCGCGAGAACAGACCATGAACTGAAAGAAACACAGAGCTTAAATATCCAAACAAACTAATCAACAGGTGTCCGATTTAATCAATACCAGAGAATTGCAGGTAGGTTAGTTGGTTGATTAGTTCCATGCTCATGTTAAAAGTGAAGCGGTGCTGATGGTGACGCACACCATCGAGTATGATCGCTCGTAGATTCATGGTGTGATTCTGCATTAGTAGCTGGAAGCCATCAGGAGTGTCCTCATTGTAGCCTATGTGATGTTTAAAAACGCAATTTCCTCAAAAGAGGATTTCCAAACATTTTTGACCAGTTTGACCATCACAGAGCTGTTTATCCAGGTATCTACAAAGCTTAAGTTACTGAGGACACGCAAATCTTTAAAAGCATCAAATGGGTCAGTCGTAATGTTACACTGGTCCGGAAATAACTTAATGAGCTGAATTATTTTAGTTTGGGTTTGGTCAAAATCTATAATCATGTCTTTGAAAATGTCAAAACGTTGACAAAAAGTCACATTCAGAATGACTTGGTGGAGGGACTTTCCTCACCACTGTCTTGCAAGAAACATGTTTACATCTGACATGTCATGATTATGCACTTTTTTTAAATAGTAAATTTATGAGTAAATAACAAGAAGTTGAATAATTTGTCTGCCATTTCTCCTTTCTTTCTCTTAGCTTTGTTTGAGGTGTGTAGCCTACTATTTGGTAACTAGGCACTTGGTTGTGGCCTTTAAACTATTCTATAAAGTTTTAAGCGGGAGTGGTGACTGGTTGATTGACATAATGGGAAAGTAATGTCTAATTCTGCCTGCTATTCAAAGCCATTGAAAAATCAATCAGTGGTTACCTAAGCAATAGATGATATCACTTCATAGTGATATATGACTTATTAGCTTGGAGAAAACACTTTTCTCATTTTTAAGAACGCAGATCGAATGATGATCGTCCTAACTTACATACATTTTTTATTCCAAAAATTCACCCCAAAAGTAGCCTACCACCAATTTGTTTACATTCAAAACGAACTAACGGTCTCTTGAATTAGAAAAATGAAAACGACAATAGTTACCACATAGACCTATTCTGAAAAATACAGCAAGTACTCATTATTGCAACATTTAACGGTCACAAGACAACAGGCATAAGTTGACACACACAAGCAGGTTTTCCTCGTGGGGACCAAAAAATGTCCTTACAAGGACAAGACATTCTGGAAGGATTTCGGATATCGCCATCTTTGTAGGGACATTTTGTCCCCATAATGCAGGGTTTACCAGCTGACAACACTCGATGACATCATGCGCCTTCGGTTTTCCGAAAATGTCCGAGCGCAGAGAGCGGCCGCTCTCCGGAAGATCCGGGTGCTGGGGCTTCAACATAAACAGCAATGGCGGAGGCAGCGGCAGCGTCAACAGCGGCTCCAGCAGTTATCGGAGGCTGGACGAAGCACGTACCCTGCAGGTTAGTGAAGATCCGCCGAGGAACGCGGTTATTGCAACATTTAACAGTCACAAATATAAAACGCAAACGCCTGTGTGTGTGTCGATGTTGAGGCATCGGATAGCGCCGCTGTCTTTGTGCTGAACTGGATGAGTGTGTTTGTTGTTGTAGCACACCGATCAGCGATCAGTCCGACAGCGGCTGCTATTTGCGGTCCTTTCTTCCTCTGTGTGTGTTTCTTATGCAACATCCGTGTTTGTGAAAAACAACACGGCACTGCATCAACCACGTATGGCAGTCAGTTTTGACAGTAAAGAGTTTAAGGAAGCCATTAAAATCATTGAGTTTAACCGATCTGGGCAGCAGCCAATGTTGTCAGTGTCAGCCTTGATGATTTATGTATATTAATTCACTTGTCAGGCTTTTATTCTAGTCTAGTCATGACTGTACAAAATAACCTTTTTTAACCCACATATCTAATGGCATCAGATGCAAGATATATTTCAAACACGAGTAATAGGCTATGTAGTGTTTACATTAGCACTGTTGTCAAATATAACATGCGAATACGAAGGGTTATTTGGGTCATGCTGTTTATTATTCAGTAAATGACGTGGGCTGTGCATCTTGCATCTTAGTCCATATTATTTAGGCTTATTGCCATGACATATTGATTATTTTATGTTGTATATCAGCCTTTGTTCGTGCCTTCAGTTGTGTAAAAGCCTAAAGTGGAGTCTGTATGAGTGTTGTCATATGGCTCTAGCTTTTTGACCAGTCTCAAAAAAACATCTTCATTTATAGGTATTTTCATGCACGGCCTTTGCAAAGAGGGTGACAACTGTCGATATTTACACGACCTCAGTAGCTGCAAGCCTACCATGATCTGCAAGTTCTTTCAAAAGGGATCCTGTGCTTTATGGGGACCGTTGCAGGTAAGAGACATAATGATGCAAGCATTTTAGTAGATCCTCAAAATGAGCTGAACAAACAACCGCTCACTTTCACGACAAGATCTGGGCAGATGTTACATAACTTCAAAGGTAATGTAATCTGTATTTCTGTGTTCAGGGTCTGTAACACATGAGTGTGTTTAATGTATTAGAGGTAAGGAAGGCTTCTGAGAAGTGTTGTGTGTTGCTTCATTACATGTCCGTGACAACCGAGATGCAGAATTTTCTGTAAACAAGTTGTTGAGTTTGTCACTTCCTTAAAGGGTATTTCCCCCCCAAATTAATATTCTTTAATATTAATATATTAATTAATATGAATATTTATTCATTCCTATACCTCTACGAGTTTCGTTTTGCTGCGGAACACAAGAGAAGAGCATTTTTTTGTCCTTGCCATGAGAGAATTTAATTTTTGCCTAACTGTCTCTTTAGGAGATGTGTAAAAGTAGCTCTTAAAGGTCAAGTTGTGTTTGCATTTAAAGCATTTGTGTTGCATCAAGTGGCAACAAGTGCATATAAACAGACCACCTTTGGCCAATGCAGTCCAAAGTCGCCCGAAGCAGTGTAAAAATTTGCCTGCGAGCCAGACAGTGCAGACAATGTTTGTCTCATATCTGTCTGCAGTCAAGTGTATCCCCATAGTAACTGCTGCCCCCAGCTCGGCACTATGGAATGTCTTTGTTTGCCGAGGCTGTCCTATGACAGCATTACATCTGACGAGAGCTCTCTTGAGAGGACTGTTTCCTGTGGTTTCAGGGTCTTGAGCTTAAATATCTGATGTCTGGAGTCTAGATTGATGTCTGACAGAGTTGTATTGTCAGCGTTGAGATTATCTTGGGGAGGCGCAGTGATGCTTTTGTCCCCATATGGGGTTTACCGCATTATTGTTCCTGTGTTTATTCCGAGGGAGGGAGGGTGTCCAGCTTTCATTAAGTGTGCGTAGAAAGGGCCTCAATGTATGCTTCATTATGGATGGATTCTCTATGCTGCTTTGTGTCTATCTCTGTCTCTTGCTTTCTCCTTCCATGTGCCCTCCCCCCCACCACCTCCACCAATCTGGGGCCCAAATAGAGCAGCGCAATGCACACTGCATGGCAATTACATAACCCTAGTGTGTTAACATCTCTCTCTCTCTCTCTCTCTCTCTCTCTCTCTCTCTCTCTCTCTCTCTCTCTCTCTCTCTCTCTCTCATCTCTCTCTCTCTCTCTCTCTCTCTCTCTCTCTTCTCTCTCTCTCTCTCTCTCCACTCTCTCTCTCTCTCTTCTCTCCTCTTCTCTCTCTGCTGTTGCTACCGCCGTCAGGTTCACTCGGTTCATGCTGCCATTCTGCAGTAGCCACTTGTGCTTCCACCGCTGTGTCGTTTATTTATGCGACCCCCACCCCCACATATATAGGCCGACACACGCGCACAAACCAGGCCTAGAATAGGGCTGAACGACCCAAGAGGTTTGAGGATGGAGGGGTCTTTGGATGCTTAAGGAAAGCATTGAAGCGTGTTTTGTCGGGGAATAATGAGACAAATAAAGGTCAGATGCTAAACTATATATGATATGACAATGTGATCAGGCTTGTTGGCTATTGTAAATAATAATATGCTTTGATTCCATCACATTAAACTGTTTTTAACAGTAATTTAAATAATGTGGTTTTCTCTATTTTTTTTATTTTATAAATGGTATAGTCATTTTTGTTGCACAGTTATTTAAGATGAATATATTTTTAATTATACCTATCTGTCTGGATTGGTGATTGTCTTTAACAATCATTGCATGTGAAAACTAAGCTCTTCCTTACAAACAATTATATTGTCTGAAACATGACTTGAGATGCAAACAACCCAACACAACACTACATGAAAACCTGTACTTGTACACTAATAAGGATGGGTAACAATTAATAAGGCTGACTAGTTTACCTAGATTTTTTCCCCCTTACATTTTGTTTTTAGTTTTGAAATTTGTAGCCATGGTGTTTTTATTAGCAATAGCATGCCTGTAGACACCGTCAAACCCACTCACAAATGTTAAATATTTTTAATGAATCATTTCTGTAAGTGGCTATCTGCTGCATTATAAGTGTGAACAAGACATGTACTCACCATGGTAACCACACAAACGTCAAGTTTGTGACCATATCATCTTCAGAAAAAAAGAAAAGAAAAAAACACCCGTGGGAAACACACCAACACCTAAGACAGAGGGAAAAATCTGCTTAATGATAATGTGCTAAAGCCTGTCTGAAATACTTTATCTGAGTACATTTTTAATTTAAGGTTTAATACCCCAACACTCACTTGGGTATTAATACTAGTAAAACTGCAATAACACTTCATAACTATTACAAGTCACAGAAAGCAAG